TAAACCTTAAACCCGAAACCGTATTTCAACAACGTGTTTTCTTGAACCCTCTTGGTAACCCTCGGGCGTTACGTAGACATGGAAGTCCAGAAAGTGACTGCACTGATTGCAGACCGTCTGAGAATTACCGCTTGGGAAAATGCGGTGTCTTGTCTGGTTCCGAGGCTGCAAAATTGTTTAAACAAAAGAAGACATCATGAACATCATTGGCTGAGGGGCCAAGGCATGGGTAAAAACTGTCGGTTGCAGCGCAAGGGGCACAGTATGAGCATCGTTGGCCCCGACGGTCCCAGCACAGGAGCGGTGCCTTCCCTGGTTTCGAGAAACATCATGAGTATGGCAACATGATCAGCCACCCGCAGTATCTTCCCTGGCCCCGAGGCTGCAAAGCAAAGGAGCACGGCAAGCACTATGAGCATCATTGGCACGCGCGGGTCAGGTTGCAACAACAAGAGAAGCAACATATGTATGATTGGCTCAGGTGGCCCTGAATGCCCGAAAGCAGGACAGCACGGACAGTATCATGAGCACGGGCAAGGTTGCAAACTCATGGTAAGCATCATCAGTATCATCGGCTTCCTTGTTTGTCCCCTCGCCGGCACCATTTTTTTGGATGCTTGTTAGGGTGTGGCTTTTCTAAGGTTTAGGGCTTAGGCTTTGGGTTCAATGCCCTGAAGGCAGGCAAAGGACACAGCATCAAAAGACACAACCCGACACATTAAAACCCTTAAGGAGCCCAACACATTCAAGTCCTCAAGGTCTGTATAAACCCTAAACCCGAAACCCGAACCCCAAAACCCTTAACCCTAAACCCTGAACCCTAAACCCTGAACCCTGAACCCTAAACCCCAACCCTAAAACCACAACCTTTGCAATGGACACGCCATGAAGCCTTCGCCTTGACCCCCAGAGATGCGAAAACTCCTCCAGAGAAGCCGAAACTACGGGTTATATAATATTGGGGCCGAAACAGTTACCAATACTGTTTTTGGGGACTCCTTATTAAATTATGGTAGAACGGGCACCAAAACCCTGTTCTAATGATTCAGGCCCCTATGCTGCCCAAACCCTAAACCCCGGAGCCCGAAGAAGTCCTATGGACCCCATAAAATGAGTGATAAAATCCGGTTTTTTATCGTGCTAGTGAGCGCCCTGACCAAGCCTTAAAAGACAACCCCCCCCCCCCCCCCCCGCCTCCCGGCCGATATTACCAAGGCTTCAGACCTTCTAAAGCTGTGGAACACCTTCGCCCACCCCCAAATCCCAAATTCCCGAATCCCAAACCCTAAGCCGCCATCAAGTTTATAGGAGCCCCCTTTAAAGCCTTCATCACCGAACGGCTTGCTAGGCTTTTGGGTTCCTTTCATGGGAGCCCCCTTTTAAACCTTCAGGAGAGCCAAGCCGTCGACAGCGTCGGGGGTACCCCGGAGTTCATGGCTCCTGAGGCGCTAGAAGTACAGAAAGATGAGGGCTTGGAGAAGGGATTTGAGAGGTTGGGGTTTAGGGTTTACGGCGGTTACAACTTATGAGAGGGATTAAGGTGTAGATTTCTGGATTGTTAGGTCCGATTATATAGGTGGATATGTCGGTTGCGAGTAGGGTAATACAAGCCTCAATCCACATAGATTTCTTGAGAGCACCTGACTACACTCCTGAAGCCCGAAAGGCTTTAACCGAACCCTAATCCCTTGCAAGGGGTTCCTTATTATATCTATAGTATAATGGGCCCCAAAACCCTATTCTAATTATTAAGGTCATTACGTCTTCAGCAACCATTAAGCTCCGACCCCGGCACCCGTCACCGCAAGTTCCGAAACTCGAGTGTTTAGGGTTTGAACTTTCTGAGCCCCCAAAAACGAAGTTTGCGCACAGACATGGGGCCAATGACAGGCCCAACCTGAAGCATAAATCCCAGCCCTAAACCCAATTCCTGGCCCCGGATGCCCCTAAAGACCTTGGGATCTAAACCCTAAACCCTAAACCCTAAACCCTAAACCCCTTTGATCCTAAACTAAACCCAAAACCCTAAACCCGAAACCCTAAACCCTACACCGGAACTGGAGCTTCAGTTGCCCCATCCGGCATGGTCTGAAGATGTCTGACGAGTTAGTACTTGGCAGTAGGATTTTGTTGTGTGGTCTCTGCTATATACCTATGGGTATAATGTGGACCCAAAGCCGATTATCAAGAAACCCTACCCAGACCCCAGAGACCCTTCCTCTTTATGGATTTTTAACGGAAATAATAATGAGTAACCCTAAAAAGTAGGTTCTTTAGGGTCTAGACGTGTGGGCCCTAAATCCTAAGCCAGTCCATGGATTGACTCGGAGGTGTGGGGTGGCGTCTACGGTCAGCCGCCGAGATGGGGCTCTACCAAACCCTAGGGAGTGAGGGTTTTGGAAAGTAGCTTTATGGGCATTCATATGGCTTTCCCGGATTTTATGCGTTTCTCAAGTTTCAAAACAAGAGAAAGGCCTGACTCCAGTCCTTGAGGATTAGAAACTGGGGTTTGGCTCCTCTTTGGGCATTTTGCTGTTCTGCTCATCGTTTCTTGCATTAGGCTTCGGTTCTGCCCGGTTTGGAGACCCTAAACCCTAAACCCTTCTGAGGGGTTCAGGATGTACGAAGCAATAGATGTCGGTCTAAGCCTCAGTACCGAACTGTCTTGTTTGGGGTTTCCCTACATTACCAGAACCCCATTACATAGGCGTTGGGCCATTACTTTAGTTTTGGGTGTTTAGGTAAACACTTCTCGGATCAACCCGAGGACGTGGGGGGGGGGGAGGGGCTTGGATCGATCTTGTGCATGCTGACGCACCCGGATGTATCTTAGGCCTTAAAGGGTTTATCCGGCTTGTAGGGTTCATCGTGTTAAGTTTAGGGTTTACCGTTGAGGTTGAGACCATGAGCAGATTTTGACGGTTCATGGGTACCCCTGCTCATTTGGAGCCAGCCCCGATCCTACATCCTTAAAAGGACCCTCAACAACCCTAAACCGTAAACCCTAAACCCTAAACCCTAAACCCTAAACCCCAAACCCTAAACCCTACCACTCTGAGAGAAATACGTCCTGTTTCTGGCGCGCTTGCGGCGGCTAAGGCCGACTTCGGGAGCGAAGATTCCAACTGGGATGCGGCAAAGGCCGAGCAAGGCGATTTGGGTTTAGGGTTTAGGGTTTAGGGTTTAGGGTTTAGGGTTTAGGTTTGCCACCCTGGGCACTGGATTTCGACCACATGCACACAGCGTCGGTGGTTCCGCTGCTCGCTGTGAAGCACGCCCAGCAACAATGGTCTCTCGAGGCCTTGTCCCGGAAGCTCATATATGTAGGGGTTTGAATACGGTTTAACCGGGTCCTTGCTGGACACAATTTCACATGTTTGTTAAAAGAAAACCCGATAAGGATTAAACATGAGCATTTTTAATATAACCCCAACAGGGATCCAGTTAAGGTCCATGACAACCGTCCGTCGGTTGATATATGATGTAAGTCCCTTCGAAAACAACCCTCCAGATAAGGTCAGCAATGCGACTGCTGGGGAGTGGGCATGATGTTGTACTACCTTCTCGCGGCTCGGCGAGGATTGGAACCGCTTTTACCTTATGCCATAAGTTGTGAGTTAGTTAAACGGGAGTACAGTCTTGGGCTCTTCGGGACGTAGGTTCACCCTGGCTGCTCTCATCCGCAGGGGCGTTCTGCTTTTTGAAGCGTGGCTTTCAATGGATTTACAATCTAGAATCTAGGGCTAGGTGGACCAAAATCTCTCAACCCTAAGCCCCAAACCCTAAACCGAATAATTTGGATAGGGTTGGGGTTCATTGAATGCCAAGTGTGGTGATTCACGTGACGAGCCAGCGAACCCCGCTATTTTGCAGTTTTTAGGGCCTAGGGTTATGCAGCAGTTATGAACTGGGTCAATCCCGCGCTGTTGCAGTCCCTTAGTAAGGAAGTACTCGAGCCCCCAAATGCCATTCGTTTACAGGTTGACAGTGTTGAGGGATTCGCCTTGAACCTGACGAATTGAGAACTCAAGCCGCCCCAAATCCTGAATCCTGAAACCGGCCAGCCTATACCCCTTAATTCAGGAATATAGCTTAGATCATAATACTAAGGCCCCTATAATTTAAGGTACATTCCTTATTTAAGGGGTATTGGGCTCTCTGGGTAGACTATAGGTATAATGCGGGACCCCGAGGACAAGTATCGGTGGTTTTGAGACTTTTATATTGCAGGTCCGAATACTTGGAAGTAGCCTCCCTCACAAGGGTTTACATTCGAGGGTAGAGTTCAGGGCTTAGAGTATAAGTATGCCACAAAAAATTCGCCAGGCCAACTCTAAGTATTAAACCCTAAACCCTAAACCCCTTAACCCTAAACCCGATTAACCCTTAGGTCCATGAACCTACCTCATGGAACCTTAGAATTAGCCGTCTATAGATCAAATCTCGAACTCTGCAAGCTTCCTCAGGGTGATGTGTATATATATATATACACACAAGAATATGTATAGATACAAAATAGGAATATAGTTAACGAAATAAATAGGTATATGTGTGTGTATATATATATATGCGGGTTCGAATAATAAGTGAAAGTATGCCCCTGGAATCCCCTGAACATCTAATATAGGCCATTTATGGTTATTCGTACTGTTGTTGTTGTTATAGTTAGTGTTATTGTTATCGTTTTTACTGTCGTTACTGTCGCCATGATCATCATCATCATCATCATCATCATCATCATCAGCAGCAGCAGCATCATCTCCATCACCATCATCATCAGAATCATCATCATCAGCAGCATCAGCATCAGCGTCAGCATCAGCATCAGCATCAGCATCAGCATCAGCATCAGCATCAGCATCAGCATCAGCATCAGCATCAGCATCATCATCAGCATCATCATCATCGGCCGCATCAAGCATCATCATCATCATTATCATCATCATCATCATCATCATCATCAGGGTTAAGATTGTCCTTGCTTTCACCCTAAAGCCTTGTTCGAATCGTAAGGCCCCCAACTTAGCTTCCTGGACCCACTGGAGGTCGGTCAATTGCCGTATGCAAGACCTGTGAATCTGCAAGAATACCCGAGGACTGGGCAGGGTTGGGTATGATTAAAGCGTTTCGGAGGTTTGGAGGTTTGGTTTCTTGGATCTTGTGTTTAGGGCCTATTTGAGAGTTATAAAGTTTTGGATCCTTTCCAGGACGGTCGGATTAACCAGACGGTTGAACGCAATGGAAAGTAATTAAGTTTATATTACTTCCCGAGCGTGTTCGAGGGTTTTGAAGGGTGCAGCCTCGTGTGAACCGCATGTAGGGCTCGAGATTTTCAATATGAGTCTGATGAGGTTTGGTGTTTATATAAACAGGTCGGAAGAAGCGCGTCACCTGCATAGTCCTGGCAAGATGGTTTTATGGAAACTCCCTAAACCCTAAACCCTAAATTTACCGGAAGCGGCAGTTCAACAGCATGCGCTGGCAAGCTGTAGAGGGCTATAGCCTTAGAGCCCATGGGGTTCTCTTGGAGTGACCTTTTGTGGGTAATACCGTATTGCCCGCTCCTTGTATCAGTTTTTTGGGAAAGGTGATCGCGATCTGAAGGCCCTTGAATGTGTTTTTAATTTTCCATTAATCGAGGGTCTGGCTGATTTTTTTGTCCCCCGCATCAGAAAGAATATCGGTATAGACCGGAAAAGCATTATAGCGGTAGCTGAGCTTAGAGGACGGTGTGCAAGAATGCAGCAGGTCGTGGGTGGTGAGAAGCCAAGTTGATACAGCCAAGGCCGCAACTCCAAAAGGCTGGCTTAGCACGTCAGTCACACATCGGTCTCAAGTCGCATCTTGCGGGCTCATAAAGACAGTGAAAGGTGCAATCTGCACTCCTAAGCGTTAAATCCTAGAAGTAATAGTTCTCTAAGGGAGGGTCTCTTTAGGGTCCTTTTTTATAAGGGTGCCGTACTGTATTGGGACCCAAAGAGGGGCCCTACTTTAGAGAACTACCCGAATTAAGACATCTCAAGCCCAAAACCCTAAACCCTAAACCTTAAGCCCAAAACCCTAAACCCTAAACCCTAAACCTCAAACCCAAAAACCCTTGGCCCCCATGACTCCAAGGCTGCAGGCCGCAACCACGAAGCCCGACCTGCAAGCCCCCGAAAGCCCCCGAAAACCCAAACGGCAAACATTTAGGGTTTAGGTAGGGTTTAGGGTTTAGGGGGGCAAAGATCTGCAAAGCATAAAATATGGCAAGTAAACCGCCCCTTGTAGTTAATCGTGTCTTCTTCTTGTAGGTGTGTGTATATATAAAGACATACGTACATACAGATACATATATATATATATACACATGCACATATATTCATACATATTTGTCTAAAACATCTGCACACATGTATGTATGTGTCCGTTCTGATCTTCTTGGAGGATGTGGAGTCGCTTCCGGCTTTGTTTTCCATCTTCCCAAGGCTCGTGCAAAGAGGTTAAGGATTTGGGGGTTCAGGGTTTAAGAGTAGGGGTTTAGGGTTTTAGGGTTTTGGGGTTTAGGGTTTTGGGGTATAGGGCTTTAGGATTTGAGCTTTTAGGGTTTAGGGTCTAGGGTTTAAGAATTAGGGCATTTAGGGCCAGTTTCCTTTGGGGACAACATAAATGGAGCCAGGTTTTGTTTGGGAGAGATGGGTTGTTGGGTCGGGAGGGGGCTAGGGTTGAGAGTTAAGGCAACTCGGAACAATGAGAATCGACACCCCAAGCCCTAAACTCTGAAATACTGTAGGTATGCTGAAGAAAGGTAGTGCTAGTATGTTCAAGGGCAGAGGGGGTAGGGTGACTATGGTGAGGGTAGTGCGTTGCATTTGTGAAGATGGTCGATGGTCCAGGACGTTTTGAGCAACTCAGGGTTTGGGGCCTCGGGCTAAGAGCTTCTTGGTAAGCTCTATATAGAACCCTGAAGCCAACAAACGTGTGCTGAATTCCTTCTGGTTCCCTAAGGGTCCATGTGCCCAAATAGTATAGACTGTTGCCCCAAAGTACCTATGTAGGGACTACTTTAAGACCAAAGTATATACTATTTGGGTACATTCACGCTTCGGGGTTTGTTTTAGGCGAGCACGTCGACGTGGGGGTCGACGATCGATACATCGTGGAAGCCTGTTTAGTTCGCAAGGCGACTCATGGGTTATTTCGCATCCCTGTCTTTTTAAAGTACGCTAGAAGTATGTGTGAATACATGCATGTAGAAATATAGATTTATACACAACTTATTTAACTAATTCGTATTCGATAAACAAAGATGAATAGGTAGCTAATGTATGTATGTATGTATGTATGTATGTATGTATGTATGTATGTAGGTACGTATGTATGTATGTATGTATGTATGTATGTATGTATGTATAAATGAATATATATATATATATGTATATATATATATATATGTATAGCGATGTGTTTATTGGTTCATGTTTGAGAATTCTCTAAATCGCACATACGGCATATGTGTATGTATGCGTGTATGTATACCTACACACATGCAGTCCCGATCCATCAGAACGCTTTGGATACTGTTTTTGAGTTTATGTCGCAAATCACAAATCTTGAGCCCGCAAGCATTTCCTGCAACACCACCCTGAATCTTCTTAAACATTGCTTCAATACAAAAAATCATTGCAAGAAACCCAACGAACATGCACACACGCACCAGAAACGCACAGCCCTGAATCCTGGATCCGACACTACATAAATCGAACTCTAGCCCTAAACCCTCAACTCTCAACCCTAAACCCTAAACCCTAATCCCTCAATGCCTGGCTTCGGCAGGCTGGGGCTCAAGAAACTTGCGTTCTGCTCGCGACCTGATCCGCGGCTGGGTGTGGTTTAGGGGTCAGGGTGCCGGGTTTAGGGTTCAGGGTGCCGGGTGCCCTGCAAGGCTTATGGGGATTTTCAACCCCTACTGTAGGGGCCTAAATAATTACCAACAGTATTTTGGGGGTTCCTTAATATAACAATAGTAGGGGTCCCAAAACCCCTATAATAATTGTTAAGGCCTCCATAGCGAGGGGGTTTCGGGCGTAGGGAGGTTTGCCAGGTTCCATCCAACAGCCAGGTTCCAACTGCCCCGAACAAGACAGCTTTCGTGCAACTATCAAGGCCGTTGTTGCGCATCGCTATATTCCTGTACGCGCCCGATGTAGTTCGAACACAGTACACCTGATGTTGGACAACGCTTGCAACTGCGATTCATGAACCCCCTGAGAAGCCACATGAAGACACATAATATAGAAGCCCAAACAATTACCAATATTTTTGTGGGGGCTCCTTATTATAATTCTAGTATAATGGGCCCCAAAACCTTATTCTAATTATTAAGGCCCCTAGACCCTAAACCCCTAAAGTAGCCGCAAGTAGCCCTTATTATAGAACCCTTTCAAGGAAGCCTTTAAAGGAACCCCCAAAACCCTATTCTAAGTATTAAGCATGTTGAGGCTTCGTTTTAACCAGATGTACCTCAATGAAGCTTTCGTATCTCGGAGTTTGTCTGCAGGAACACTACCAGCAATTCCAGACAGAACTTTCGTAGTCAGGGTTATTAGGGTTTAGGATTTAGGGTTTAGGGTTTAGGTTTTAGTGTTTAGGGTTTAGGGTTTAGGTTCTGCGACGTGCAAAGGAATGTACTGTAAGTAATACTAAGAAACCAGCTATGTCTTGTGTACTCTGAAGTCGCTTCCTTGCCCGCAAGGTCCTAGTACCTATTGGTCATATACTCTTCCAAACACTAACCTGCATAGCGACTAATATCCTTAACCCGAGTACTTGTACCTGACTTTTGGGTCCCTTGGACCCATAAAACCCTACCAAGCCCTAAACCCTAAACCCTAAACCTTAAACCCTAGACCCCAAACCCTAAACCACCTTAGACCCCAAACCCTAAACCCTAAACCCCTAGCCCTAGAAAGCCTCTGCCCTTAACCCTAAACCCCTTTTGGGACCCTTACAGGGGTTTAGGGTTTAGGGCTTTTTTTTGGAGTCTTTGGGACGCAGAGTTTGAGGGACGTCGCCCAGGCAGCCTCCTGGTGATGAAACCGCAGGAGTGCTCCAGGGCGGGGAGGTAGGGTTTAGGGTTTAGGGTGTAGCTTTAGAGCAGAGGTTTAGGGTTTAGGGCTTTGAGGGTCCAGGGTTTAGGGTTTAGGGTTTAAGGTCTAGGGTAATTTAGGGCTTAGGTCCAAGAGGGTCCAGAGGTTCAGGGTTTAGGGTTTAGGGTTTAAGGTCTAGGGTTTAGGGTTTAGGGCTTAGGGCGTAGAGGGTCCAGGGGTTTAGGGTTTAAGGTCTGAGGTTTAGGGTTTAGGGTTAAGGGCTCATAGGGTCTAGGGGTTTAAGGTTGAGGATTTGTTTTGGGATGTTCAGGGGGCAGGGCCTAGGGTTTAGGGCTTAGGGTTTAGGGTCCAGGAGGCTGGGATTAGGGTCTAGAATTGAAGGTGTAGGGTTTATTTAGGGATGGTTCGGGCATAGGGCCTAGGGTTTAGGGTCTGGGTCTGGGTTTAGGATTTTTTTGGGTTTAGAATTTGGGCTTGACTAGGGTGTCGGGTCTCGAGGTTAGGGCCTATTGGGGTGCAATGTTTAGGGTGTAAGGTCGAGGGTTTAGGGTTTAGGGTTTAGGGCTTAGGGTGGTGATGTCGATAGTGCCAGGAGCGCTGGACGGCGGGAAGCGCTTTGAAGTCTGAGTTCATCAAGAAGCACGGCAGCTTTGGCCGGCAAGCGGTAGTTGTTTCGTTGAAGTGGGGGGAGGGGGGTGAGGAGCTACTGAATCTTTAGCAAGTTTCAGCCTTTGGGTATTGGGTAGCTACAGGAACCAGACTCCTGAACCTCAGACTCCCAAGCAAATGGAAGTAAACGAAGCCTAAAACCCTGTCCTCAATGCTATACTTACACGGAGGAACCACTTGCAGGCGCCAAAGTTGGAGAACCCCAACAAAGCGCAAACATATTGACACCACACACCAGACCCAGAACTTATATACTTATGTGAGTGTTCCGGGGTTCGGGTACCCGAAGCCGTAAACCCTCAACCCTACACCGCCATAGATCCTGGCAGCTAAACCCTAAACCCTAGACCCTAAACCCTAAACCCTGAGCCCTAAACCCTAAACCCCAAACCCCAAACCCCAAACCCTAAACCCTAAACCCTAAACCCTTAGTTGCCTGCTCTAGGCCCTTCGGCCAGCAACCCCGAAGCCGACCCAGCCCTCCATGTGCCGTCGTAAGTAGGAAGGTTGAAGAATCTGGGTTTGGGGTTTGGGTTTAGGGTTTTGAGTTTTGCGGTTTTGGGTTTGTTTTTTTTGGTGCAGGGTTTCGGGTTTTGAGGGTTCGTCATCCTCACCATCATCATCATCAGCTCATACAGGCAGAACGCAAAGGCCGGAAGTAAGAACCTGATGAAGGGTAACAGCTGATCGAAACCTTGGAACCTTGGCACCTAGCGCAACCCAAAACTTTCCTGGAGAAAACACACAGAACACTACAGCCAACTACTACAACAAGCTCTGAGCAGTGCGAGCCCTTAAAATGCCCGCTCCAAAAGGGAGGTCATGGATCAAATCACGAACAAAACCCGGAAACCCTTAACCCTAAGGTCCAAACCAAACATGGGATCAACTTGAAAGCCCCTTCGAGATAACACAGCAACCCCTTTACCCTGAACCCTGGCCCTTGACCGCAAACGAAAACCCCGACCCCAAAGCCAAAACCCTAAACCCTAAAACCTTAACCCCAAAATCCTAAACCTCGAAAGCCCAAAACCCAGAATCCTAAACCCAAAAGGCCCAAAACCCGAAACCCCTCAATCCTTAAAACGCTGAGGCCGTTCCACGCCTATCGGCGGCATCACGGGCGCAGCGGTGGGCGAAGTGCTGAGGCTCCGCTGGCGGGTGGCGGGGGGGGGGGTTGAAACACTGAATGTTACACATCCAGGTGCCTATCTGTTTCAGGTATCACTTGCATGTTTCCATGCCTGATGCTCAAGGTTCTAGCAGAGTACGATCTACAGCTGTGCGCCTGTAGTAAAAG